ACACACACACACACACACACACACACAAACACACACAACCTAGAGGAAGAAGAGGAAAAGTTGATTTTGGCTCTTGGTTCCAGACGTTTATTCCATGGTTGACTGACTTCATTGCTCTGGGCCCAAGGTGAGGCAGAACTTTATGGYGGAAGTGTATAGTGGAAGGAAGCTGCTCCACTCATGACAGCCAGGAGAGAGAGAGGGAATAGGAAGGGCCTCAGGGAAGATGAACCCTTCCAGGGCAAGCTTACAGTGGGCCCCCTCCACCAATCACACCGCACAAGCCTATAGTTAACCACAGAGTCGTTTTATTTAAACTAGAATGGATAGATTCAGTTACAGTTCTCATAGTCGAATCATTTTGCCTCTGAGAATTCCTGCATTAACACAAGAGCTTTTGAGGGATATCTCATTTCCAAACCATAACAGATACAAAAGGAAGTGGAGGACCATCTGAATTTGGTCTTGAGGTGGTGCTGGAGTTTTCCAGGTAGAGAAGAATGGACTGGTGGGCAATTCCAAGTAGGGGGAAACACATAACAAAGGCAGGAAGGCATGAGAAGGGGGCTGGTSCTGGCAATGAAGCAGGAAGTGGACCTGAAAGCCCAGGCTGCTTGGTGCTCACCCACTGCCCCTTGGAATGGGCAGCCCTCCTTTATGGGGTGAATACACTTCAGAATTCTGCCTCCCTGTGGAATCATCTGGACCCACGTGGCTGATCAACCTCAGAGGAGTCAGACTATGCAGAGGACAGTGTGCACTTGTGCTGTGTGGCATTCATAGGAGGTTCCCCAACCAGGCACAATGAGCAGAGAAGCCTGCCTTGAAGAGATCACAGGTCCCTCCCCATGGCTTGGACACTTTTGGAGTGTTATAATGATTAAGGAACATACTTCACCTGGTGTTATGGTTGAGAATGTTTCCTGATGATTCATGTGTTAGAAGCTTGGTACCCAGTATGGTGTGTTAACATGTAGTGGGACCTTTAAGAGGTGGGACCTAGTGAGAGGTCATTACTGGCTTCTCCTCAGTGTCTCTCAGGCTTCTGATCTTGAAATATGATCTCTCCCTCTCTCACATAATCTCACCATGATGCCAACTGCCATGTTATAACCCAGCCAAGAGCTGAATTGATGGGCCTCCTGATCTTGGACTTTCAGCCTCCTAAACTGCGAGCTAAATAAATCTCTTTCCTATGTAAAGTACACAGCATCAGGTATTTTGTCTTAGTAACAGAAACTGAACTAATATACTCTGTAACCCAACGATTCTTCATGGGCAAAGGGAGAGAACTTTTGAGTGAAAAAGACATGGGTCCAAACATGGCTCCTGAAGTTACCAGCAGTATGACTTTTGAGCCACTCATTGAACTTCCCCAAGCTTCAGTTTCCTCATCTGTGCAGCAATTCTAACTATTTGGAAGGATTGGCACGAGAATCTGTGTTCACTGTCAGTACTCAGCACATACTAGTTTCCTTTTTCCTCCCTCCTTCACCTTGCACAACTTAGCTCTCTGCTGGAAAGGATGCCATTCAGACCTCTCTTGTACAAACCTCTTCCTCCTTCAAGATGACCCTCTTACATGAAGCCTTGCCAGGTTCCCCAAAATGAAAAACTGACTTCCTCTTGGAATATCTTATGCTAGTCTTATGRTGTTGCCTTTTCTTTTTCTCATTTATACTTTTTCAAAATTGTACGTGCATGGAATTTTATTTATTCCATTTCAGTTCCTTGTGCCCTCCCCTTTCTCCTCCTCTTTCCCCCTATTCTACTTCCTCTACTGATCTTCCTTTCACTTGCTTATTTTTTTTTWAATTTTTGATTAGTGCTTTACACACATACATAAAGGTAGAATTCACTGTGGTATATTTGTACATGGACGCAGTATAAGTTTGCTAAACTCATTCTACATTTCCTCATCTTACCTGTCCCTCCTCACTCCCTTCTGATATTCTTATACCCCACTGATCTTCCCTAAATCTTTATGACATCTGATCCCCTCCATTTTTTCTCTTATTTTACTCTAGTTTCTGCATAAGAATCATAAAGTATGGTCTTCTTGTGGAACTTATTTCACTTAGCATAATGTCTTTTTAAAAATATTCTTATGTCAATGGACCTTTGTTTTACTTATTTATTTATTTATTTATATGCAGTGCTGAGAATTGAACCCAGTGCCTCACACACGCTAGGCAAGTGCTCTACCACTGAGCCACAASTGGAGCTTGTAACATAATGTCTTTGAGGTTCATTCAAAGAACTTCATGTTAGAGCATGTGTCAGAATGTTATTTGTTTTAAGGCTGAATGATATTCTATTGTGTTATATATTACACTTTGTTTACCCATTCACCTCTTTAATTTTTTTTTAGTTGTGTATGGACTCAATGCCTTTATTTGTTTTTATGTGGTGCTARGATTGAACCCAGTGCTTTGAACTTGCAAGGCAAGTTCTCTACCACTGAGCTACAACTCCAGCCCTCCATTCACCTCTTGATGGACATTTGGGCTGCTTCCACTTCTTGGCTATTGTGGATAATGGTGCTATGACCATGAGCGAACAAATGTCTCTTCAAGACTTTATTTTCTACTTCTTTGGAGAAGTAGTCAGAAATGGAATTACTGGATCTTATGATACTTCTATTTTAGATGTTTTAAGGAAACTCTATATGATTTCCCAGACTGGTCAAATTTTTATTATTTTTTAACTAAATTGATTTTTTAGAACTTACGTGTGTGTGTGTGTGTGTGTGTGTGTGTGTGTGTGTGTGTGTGTGAGATGCTGGGGACTGAACCCAGGGGCAAATGCAAGGCAGGCACTCTACCAACTGACCTATATCCCCAGCCTGACCTTATTTATTTATTTTTGAACAGTTTTAGATTTACAAAGAAATTGAGATGATAGTACAGAAAGTTTCCACATATACTACACTCAGTTTTCCTATTTATTTATTTATTGTGGCATTGGGGATTGAACTCAGGGCGTTTTACCACGGCAGCCTCTCACCTAGTATTTTACAAATTCACTAAGTTGCTCTGGCTGGACTTAAACTTGCAATTGTCCTGACTCCATCTCCCAAACTGCTGAGATTATAGAGTTGTGCCACCACGCCCAGTTCTCTGTTCCTTAACATATTATATTTTAATATTGTATATTTGTTACATTTATCCATGAATCAACATTGATATACTATTTTTTAAATATTTTTAGTTGTAAATGAACACAATATCTTTGTTTATTTATTTATTTTTATGTGGTGCTGAGGATAGAACCCAGTGTTTCATGGTGYGAGACAAGTACTCTACCACTAAGCCACAACCTCAGTCCCTTGATATACTGTTATTAACTGAAGTCAATAACTTATTTATATGTCCTTAGTTTTTTGTTTTTTATTTTATGTTTTTCATTATCCCATCTAGTCTTGTGTCTCCTTAAGCCACTCTTGGCTATGAGTGAGGGCTTCTCAAATTTTCCTTCCTGGGTTTTTTTTTTTTTTTTAATTTTTAAATTTTTTTAGTTGTCAATGGACTTGACTTTTTTTTTTTTTTTAATATGTGGTGCTGAGAATCAAACCCAGTGCCTCACATATGCTAGGCAAGTGCTCTACCACTGAGCCACAACCCCAGCCCTCCTCCCTGTTTTTTGATGTCCTTGATACTTTTTTTTTTTTTTTTGAGGAGTACTGGTTAGCTATATATTAGAATGCCTTTCTATTGGAATTTGTCTGACATTGTTTTTTTTTTTYCCCCCAATATTAGGGATTGAACCCAGGAGTGCTCTACCACTAAGCTACATCCCCAGATTCCAGTCCTTTTAATTTTTTTATTTTGAGGCAGGGTCTCATTAAATTGGCCTTGAATTTGAGAAACTCCTGCTTCAGCCTTCTCAGTAGCTGGGATTACAGGCATACACCACAATGCCTGACCTGATGTTTTTCTTACTATTAGACTGGGGTTATAGGTTTTTAGGAGGTAGATATCATTTTTTTCTTTCTTTCTTTTCTTCCTTCCTCCTCTCTTTCTCTTCTCTTTTGACAGGGTCTTTCTATGTTGYCTAGACAGATATGTACCATCATGCCCTGCTTGGAGGAAGGTCGTTTTCATCTCATATCAAATGTACATACCATGATCAAGATTGGTAACTGTTGATGTTGACCTTGATAACCTGGCTGAAGTAGTAATACTTCAGTTTGTTGTCAGTTTCACAACAGCAAAGCTTCCTCTCTTTCACCCTTCCCATACTGTACTCTTCAATTAGTTGCTATGCACAGCCCACACATGAGGAAGGGGAGTTATGCTCTCCCCTGCTTATAGGTTATGATTCAACAATGAAAATAATAGGTCCTAGATCTTTTCAAAATTGGTCATGCTTTGCAATCCTAGCAGCTGCTCGGAGGTGGAAAAGTAGTCCACACCTCCCTCCCTACATCCTAGAGCCTCACTTTTCTCATCTGTAAAATGGCAATTGATGATCTTTCACCAGTTATCTTGGTAGGGAGTAGTCAGTCAGTCCCTGGTTGTCAGAATCAATTCCCTCGGCCATCTCCTTTTCGCTGGGAAACTCCGGGCCCGGGAAGRGGCGGTGCCTAGCCTAGGGTCTCATCGCGGCCTCGCCCAGCCCAGGCCCGCCCAGCCGCAGGTAGCTGGGTGCATTTCCGCCCGCCAGAGTTATTTGCATGCTGCTGGGGTTCTTAGTGCTCACTGTCTACCRAGCCCTTATGAGTTTGACCTCGACGCCCCAGAATATGCGGCCCAGCCCGCCCACCGTGAGTGTGTGGCTTTGCTGGGCGGACGGGTGGGCTGGGGCTGCTATATTCCCTCTCCTTTCGGCTCTGGTTCTCCCGCCACCTGGGTTTTCCTTCGCTGTTTTTTTTTTTTTTTCCTCTGCCGGTTGCTCCCCCTGTCTGAGTCTCCCGTTTCTGGTGGCGTTGTCTCCCTCTGCCTTTGGCTGGGCTCTCTCCTTTGTCCTTGGTGGCTGTCCCTCCTGCTTTGCTCGTTTTGCTTTCGCGCCTTGGTTCCTATTTGGCTCTGTGCAGATTCTCCTCTTTGCGCTTTTTCTTTTCCTTCCTTCCTTTTCTTTTCCTCCGCTGGAGATTGAACCCAGGGCCTCGCACATGCTGGGCAAGCACTCTACCCCTAAGCTCCCAAGCACTCTACCCCTAAGCTCCAGCTCTAGCTCTTTATATTTTATTCTGAGACAAGGTCTCGCTTCAGTTGCTGAGGCTGTCCTGGAATTTGCCATCCTGCGGCCTCGGCCTCTGTAGGCGCTGGGATTACTGGCGTGCACTACTGCACCCGCTTCGCCGCCCTCCCTCTCCACTTGATTTTTGTGTCCTTTGTTTTGGTTCCACTCTGTGTGTGGCGTGTCCCCCGGGACCCCCATCCCCATTCCCCTGGCTCTGGTGTAGTACTCTGTTCTTATTCTGTCTCTCCCTTTCCCCTGCCCCAGATGGGGGAGTCTATTCAACCAGCCCAAGGGAATCCCAAGGGCTTCCCCTGCCATTTCCAGCCTGCCTTTGTCTGCCCTCTGCCTGGATCTTGAGTCCCCCTATAACGAAAAGCTTGGTCCTTGTCCCCAATGCCAATTAATGCCAATTTAATAATGAGGACACGTTTTGAGAAAAAGGGAAAAGAAGGTTTAGTGCTTTGCTAGCAAAGGAGAAACACAGGGACTCCTGTCCCAAAGGCTGTGACTCTCTGGATCAGGGTGTGTGTGTGTGGGGGGGGTGAGGGTGGGAAGGTATGGGGGGTGAGAGTGTTTAAAGAAACACTTCAAGTGTTACATTCCAGGTGTGCTCTGATAGGGGTCCCAGGGTACCCTAATATTCACTTCCCAGATCCTCAGCAGGTATCTCCTTCCAGTAGTGGGAGTGTTGAAGGGTAATTAACTAGGGGATATCTCCCAGTTAGAATATCACTGTCTCCCTAATCTTGTTAGGGAGGGGGAGAGGGTAGAAGAGAGAAAAAAACATTAAAAAACAAAARAGCCTTTGAGCAATTAGGGCTTTATTCAGAAGGCAAGGGATCACTGTTATACCCCTGCTTGCTTATTTGTCCCCAGGAATTGGGAGAGGGAGTTTGGAAAGAGTATT